ATATATGTAATACTCCAATATTGGCAGTAAGAGCTAGTACCGTTCGAAAACACTACAGTATAGATATATCAATAAACACGTACGAAAGAAAAGGAACACATACGTTTATAAATATACATGTACACAACACATATACAAAAACGGCACTCAAGTACACAACACATTGACAAAAACGGTACTAGACTGTCTCGCTTTGATTTCGGAATGCTTACACATTGAGAAGTTAGCTTGCTGCCAATATAGAAGTATTACATATATGCTTAAATGTGTGAACTTTTTTATTATTACTTAAATATACTGAAAATATCTTAAATTGATCTCAAACAGTGATTCAAAAAATTTTATATAGTTACATAGGCAGTTACTGCTGTACCAAATACAGTCACTTACAAAAATATTTTGCATCAATTTTTTTGCAATATTCAAAATATTTTTCATGGTATTTTTTTGTTAATTAATAAAAATATATAGCTCATTTTACAACAAAAATCATGTAAATCAAAATTTCACACTTTAGAGAAAGTTCACCAAATTATCATAAAAATATCAAACTTTTTAATCATCATTTTTACAAAAAATTCTATTATGCAGTTTTATAGCCCATTCAATATAATACAATAAAGTGCAATTTTAAAGTTGCTAAAAACTCCCTTGATTTTTGAATTTTTTTTACTGACGATGTTGGGCATTTTCTTCCTTATAACGAATTTTTTCGTAGCAAAAAAAAGGTATAAAATGTCAACGGGATGTTTTCGCAACTTCAAAATTGCACATACATATATATTTTTTTAAATTAACAGAAAAAAATACCATGAAAAATATTCTGAATATTGCAAGAAAAAATCTATGCAAAATATTTCTGTGAGTGACCGTATATGCATTTGTACTTGTAGTACAAAAACTATGTTATAAACTAATGAGGATATGTACATACATACATATATGTTTGTCAAATTTTATGTTTGTTTTTTGTTGATTGAAAATACTGATTTATCGCCTTAATAAATATGTAAATGAATTACAATAAATTGTACTTTTTTTGTTATATCAATCTGATTTAAAATACTATAATAGGATGATCACAGAAGTGTTGCACTTTTGCCTGAATTTCGGGACAATCCCGGGATCCCGGGATTGTATTTTCAGATCCCGAAAATCCCGTGATCGACAAAACCCCGATAATTGACATCCCTAATACGCGCACACACAACATAAACGTTCAATTCCCATTTTCATCGAACATTTCACTTGCCGCGCCATTAAAATGGTAACAATCCTCCATTAAGCAGCTGTCTTTAATGAATGAATGCCTTGCCTGCTTGTTGGGTCAAGCGCTGATGGAATACCAAGTATTGAGAACCATAGTGCTCTATGATACCATACTGTAAATATGTACGTATTTAAGTACGAATATTTTAACTGAAGTATTGCACTTATAAAAGC